GAGCCTCACTAAGTTGCTGAGGCTGGCTTTGAACTCGCAATCATCCTGCCTCAGCCTCCTGAGTTGCTGGGATTACAGGTGAGTGTGCTGCACCTGGCTGTTCCATCTTTTTTTGTTTTATTGTGATAATTAACTCTTGTTAGTTCTCCTTTATTTTCCTCGTATATTTATTTTTGTGTAATCTTCTAAACTCTTGTTGATTTCTATTTCATTTTTGCCCACTTTCTTGGTCCTGTCGTATAAGTCTCTTACTGAGTTGTTGGTGGTATCTTTTCTGCCTTGAGCTATTTACAGCTTTCTTTGATGCCGTGGTTTTAGAGGCCTACACTTTTAGCTCAAGACCTTTTGCTTCCAACTGGAATCCTTGCCAGTAAATAGCTATGCTGTAAAAAGAAATCTTCTAAAGGGACAGATGCCTTTCATCATTCGTTGAGTGTTTGGTCATGTTTCTTCATTGTATTTCAGATAATTAAAATTCCCYTTTGAATTTTTTCTTTTTTCCTCTCTTATCTACTCATCTAAGTTCCTTATGTAGTCATTCTTATAATTTGAATGTGTATTTTTAAAAAAAAATATTTATTTTTTTAGTTGTAGTTGGATACAATACCTTTATTTATTTATTTTTATGTGATGCTGAGGATCGAACCCAGGGCCCTGCATTTGCTAGGCGAACACTCTACCGCTGAGCCACAGTCCCAGCCCGAACATGTATTCTTATGGATGTTTTAAATTTGTAGTTTTAAAAATAAATAAATAAATTTTGGAAATTTTTGGTTCTTTTATGTAGAAGGAAGATTATGGAATTGTCTCTTTGCCCACAAAGCAGATTGAGTATTCTTCCCAGAAGGAAGAATTATGACTATGTCCTATACAATGGCTTATCAGGCTTGTGATACTTTCTATCAGTTGAAGAGAAATATGCAAAACTGAGGAAAACACAAGTTTGAATAGTCTTTATTTTTTTTCTTCTGAGGGTTTTATTGGTCCCTCTATAACCTGAAGAGAAAGCCATGCTCACAGCCAAAGTATGACACCCAGGGTTTTTATTGTCTTTGCAGTCTCGTCTTCACAGGAGTGAAGACAACCCATGTCTGTGCAGAACAACTATAAACCCCATGCTTCCTGTGTCATGGGTCCAGGGGTAGCAGGTGACAGATTCACAGTTGGTACATTCAACAGCCTGGTAGGCCTTTTCTTTAGGGTCTGTCAGGATAGCTGCACCCCAACAAGCAATGCTGATGCCGATGACCATGTGCTGGGTGTAGCCCAGCTTCAGGGTGTCCACGCCACCAAGTACACGGATAGGCCTGTGGCCCCGAGAGAACCAGGCAACTCCAGCAGTTATTAAACAAGGGAGCTTCTGATGGGAAGTTGGGCTCTCTGGATGTACCTGGGGGTGTGGAGTTGGCTGGGGGAGGTGACCTTCCTAGGCTGCAGAAGCTGGGACAATGAAGAACCCATGTTCTGGAACTTGGACCAGCCCTAACAAAACTTTGGTTCTTGAATGGTCTTTAGATGTGTGCTTTTAAAATATTTATATAGAGTTAAAGATTTGAAGATAGTCAAAGATTTGAAGAGCACTTCTGACCATGTCCAGGAAATTTTTGGTTCTTTTATGTATCCATTTGGCTCTTAGGAAGTGGTTAGGGATTCTAGGCATGTTTTTAGTTAGGTTTTTGTTGCTGTGACCAAAATACTGACAAGAGCAACTTACAGGAGGACATGTTTATTTGGGGCTCACTAATTCAGAGGTCTCGGTCCATAGACAGCTGAATCCATTCCTTGGGGCTCCAGTTGAAGCAGCACATCATGGAGGAGTGCTCAGTGGAGGAAAGCTGCTCAGTTCATGGCTGGGCCAGGAAGGGGGGGTGGGAGAGGGAACCCAGTGAAGGGGGCCCAGGGAAGATGCACCCTCAGGGGTGTGCCCTTGGTGACTGACTTCCTCCAGCCACAGCCCTCCTGCCTACAGTTACCACCCTGTCAGTCCATTCAAATGAGGAATGGATTAAAGGAAAGGTCACACTTCTAATCCAGTCACTTCACCTCTGAACATTCCTTCATCGACACAGGAGCTTTTGAGGGACACCTCACATCCAAATCGTAACAAGGCATCACTTTGGACCTTTTAGGATGACATGGCTCAAAGAAATTATGACCACAGGGCTTAAGAAGTTGAGCAGTGACAGACTGTGTCCACATAATTTCTTGCCATTAAGCTTATTTCCCCAGACATTGTGCGATCCATATACGTATGGGGGTCTCTGTGACAAATGGGAAAAGAAGGGCCATTCTTCTCAGAAACAACTGAATCTTAGATTCTCAGGCCTGTGGAAAACTTTTTACCCCTCATTGTGTTTTGTCAAGTTTATCTTATTCAGCTTGACAGAAGCAGTAGAGGTATCAGTGTGTGCCGTTGTTGATATCTTATTCTATGCCAAATGCTTGCTAAGTGCCTGTATGTACCCATATAATTTTTTATTAAAATGGTTACATGAGTTATTATTATTTCCATTTTAATAATAAGAAAACAGACTTGAAGTTAGGTTACATGACAGTTAAATGGTAGAGTCAGTTTCAATCCAGGATTCCCAGGCCCCAAAGGACAGACCCTGAACAGCTGTATTGTCTCTATATACCTAAGGGGCATACTGCAGACTGATAAAAGAAAAAGCTTCTATCATGTAAATACAATTTATTAAAAAAATAACTCATCTAAAGAAGTACACATTGTATCTCTGCTAGTACTAAATAAGACACCTCCACTGCAGAAGAGAAATTTTCATTAACACCATTTAATACAGGTTAGCTTTGTTTGAATAATTAAAACAGACTTTCCCATCCTGCTTGTACCCTCCATAGAATCTGGAGAATCAGATTGTGGATTGAGAAGGGCTGGGAGAGTAAATGCTGTTTTTCCACGAATAATTCCATAAATGGTTAAGTGGGTTTTGCTTGAGCTTCCTTTTCCTAATGGGGAAAACATTCAGTTCTTAAATGTCAAAATGGAAATCTTTATCCCGAATAAAGAGATGGGAACTGTAACGAACAGTATAGAATTGTTTAAAATGGTAGTTTGTCTTCATAATAGCTGCTATTCTGACTGGAGTGAAATGATATCTTAGAGTAGTTTTGATTTGCATTTCTCTAATTGCTAGAGGTGATGAACATTTTTTCATATATCTGTTGATTGATTGTATATAATCTTCTGAGAAGTGTCTGTTCAGGTCCTTGGTGCTGGCGAGGATGTGGGGAAAAAGGCACACTCATACATTGCTGGTGGAACTGCAAATTGGTGTAGCCAATATGGAAAGTAGTAGGGAGATTCATTAGAAATCTGGGAATGGAACCACCATTTGACCCAACTATCCCTCTCCTCAGTCTAAACCCAAAGGACTTAAAATCAGCACACTACAGGGACACAGCCACATCAATGTTTATTGCAGCATAATTCACAATAGCTAAACTGTGGGGCCAACCTAGATGCTCTTCAGTAGATGAATGGATAAAAAAAGGTGTCATATATACACAATGGAATATTACTCATCAATAAAAGAGAATAAAATCATGGGCATTTGCAGGTAAATGGATGGAGTTGGAGAAGATAATGCTAAGTGAAGTTAGCCAATCCCCAAAAAAACAAATGCCGAATGTTTTYGGAGGTTGATATAAGGAGGTTGACTCATAGTGGGGTAGGGAGGGGGAGCATGGGAGGAATAGACAAACTCTAGATAGAGCAGAGAGGAGGGAGGGAAAGGGAGTAGGCAGGGGGTTAGCAAGGATGGTGGAATGTGACAGACATCACTATCCAAAGTACATGTATGAAGACATGAATTGGTGTCAACATACTTTATATATAACCAGAGATATAAAAAATTGTGCTGTATATGTGTAATAAGAATTGTAATACATTCCACTGTCATTTWTTTTTTWAAAAAWYMAWTWAAAAAAAGAATTGTTTAAAATGGTATCAAACATACTCTTCCACTGTTAACTAGGAAATGTGCTCTTATGTCATTTGGTGATCCAAAAAACATTGCCCAACCACCAACATATTGGTTTTTCTGGATGGGGTAATGAAGTTAAATATTTATTTATGTGGGTGTAATGGGCACTGCCCTGTGAATTCCACTCTAACTTTGTAATTAATGTGCCATCGCCTTAACCTGACCAAGTATTTCTGCTTTCTGCACACAAGAGACAGACTTCTGCTATTGTTTGCAGTTACTCTCATAAAAATTTGAAAGCGAGAAGTTTGTCTTCTGCTTCATTTTTCTATGTTTCTGTGGTAAGACGACAGAACCCCAGAGGTTCAGACTTTGGCCTGTGGCTGGTTTTTAGTCCTCTGCTCATTTCCAGCTTGTCTTGTGTCCTGAGGCAGACGCACTGATACCTCAGAGCAACAGGGCCGGGCAGTAGCAAGAAGACCCAGAGCAGGCAAGCTGTTCTTTTCTCTTTTGCTCTAGAATGCAGTGAAAAATAGCCCTTCATTCCTCCCACCTGAGAGATGGGGTGAGGAAGTAGTTCAGGTCTGCCAGTGCTTTTGTTCAAGTCACACTCAGAAGACCTTTTTCCGTCATCTCATGGTTGATGCCTTAGCAACCCAGTCACTAAAACAAACGGCACAGAGCTGCAAACAAAGTGACTCCTAAGATTTGGGGCCAGGTAGTGAAACCCAGCGCACCGAGTTGGGGAAATTATTCCTGTGCTATTTTGGAGAGTCTTGTCCTGAGGACAATTAAACAGTCCAGACAGGTCACTGGGTGAGACCAATTTCCTGGTTTGTTTATTTGAGCCTGATTGTTTTCACCACTGAGCAGCCGGACACAGTCTGCCACACTGTTACCCCAGGCCTGCAGAGARCGATCCTTTCATTTTTGATTTCTCTAGGCTTCCTACGGATTCTAGCATGTCTTTATCTGGTGGGGTTGCTCTGGAGTCTCTCAGGCACAGACAGGGTGGAGGACAATATCAGTGATTGCTCTTGACTTCATCTTATACAGGCATTTGGCTTTATGTCCCGAGTCGCCCTACAAGCAGAGAAGATGAATCATCACCCTGAGTGGCTCAATGTGTACAACAAGGTAAACGGATCGCCTTATTTTGGGATCAATTTTAATTATGGAGTTCGAGAAACTTCTTTCTTCTTTTCTTCCTTGTCATCTTGTGCAACTAAATGTGCTTGTGCTTAAGAAAGTATTTTCTGATTCTTTCTCTTAGAATCCCTGTGTATTATTGCAAATTAGTGACAAATTTCAGATCTGCTCATGAGAACAGTGAATAAGCTCTTTATTTTCATGTTTGTCTTCTACTGAAACTTTTAATAAAAAGAAAGTTGGGCCTAATTAGGTTCCTGAATTAAACTTGAATATCAGCCACGCAGGTAAACTATTAAATTGAAAATAATTTATTGAAAGAAAGGGTTGCAAATAAAATAGGTATGTCCTAATTATCTYATTGAAATATATTTTCTCAGGAATTATACTTTATAAAATAACTATTAAATTCTGGATCCTCAAAATTTACAAAGTTTTAGAGACCACAGTGAGAAGAATCATGTTCCCCCCAAAAAGTRTCCTTGTCTTTATGGTCACACCATTTGAAATATCTTACCATCCAGGTTTCTGTGTTTATTTTCTCTCTGGAAGTCCTCTTTGAAAAAAGAAACATCACCATTCTTGATTATATATTTTTTTTTTGAATAATTCAAAGCACCCCCATACTAGCATCAACTTTTCTTTCSTAGTTGCCTTTCTTTGCCCATAATTTTATTTTGCTTTTTAACCAATTTGTCAAGAGGTAGCGTTCCCAACACACACCCCTTTCCTAATTTGGAAATGTGCTTTTTTTTTTAACATCACTGCTAAGATATTACATTTGATAGCTTGGCTTTTCTCAGGGGCCCCMAAATAGTTGGTGTAATTAAAGTAATGGGAGTTAAAATGGAACCCCAGTCTCTCTTTTTTTCTCAAGAAATGAGGTTTGAGATCCTGGCAGCTAAATTTCCTCCTCGTATAGGACAACCTTTTTATCCTGGGTGGCTGCCGGGCCCCCTCTGATGAAGACTGTGGTCCTGGAGTTTGCTGGGTTTTGGAAATGCTGTGTTTATTGTTCATATGTATTTTCTAAATCATTTGATCCCTCTGATTCTCAAATATGAATGTTGGATAATAGATTGATTTCTGAACCACCCAAGGAGAATTCCATGAATTGTAGCTCAGGGTTTTAAAAGCTGCTTTCTTCTTTCTTAGGTCCAGATAACCCTCACCTCTCATGACTCTGGCGGACTGACCAAAAGAGATGTGAGACTGGCCAAGTTTATTGAGAAAGTGGCTGCTTCTGTGTGATTTCTTCAAAATGCATGCAAAATCTTATATACTGCTGCAGTATGTCTTGAAGGCAATTTACATAAACAAAAATCAAGTTTTAAAGGAGTTCATCCTTCTACATTTTGTATAATCAGTGTRTAAATACAAGATGACCTAAACCTGAGCCTAAGGTGTTTTTTATTACATCTATTCACAGGCATAAGATAACTCAACCTAGCAATTACATTAATAATATTTAAAGAGAGAAATGGATTCTTAAAAAACAGAACTTAGGAAAGGGAATAGTCATGTATTTCATAACCCAGAAATTCAAAATCATGACTTTATAAAAGCATTGTGTTGAAGAATAGTTGTAAGGYACCTTTGCAGGGAATGGGTTTTAATCTTACGTAACAAATTGTAGGAAGCTAAAGTCGATTTGGATTTTGGTGCTGCTACTACTTAAATAATTGATTAGATCATGAAAGTCACAAAAATGAGCTGTCTTGGTGTGTCTTACCTTTCAGACAGGGAGTTAGAGGATGAGGGTCTCATTCGTGGCTTCCTGCAAGATGTGGCAACACAAGGACTCTCTGTCACGGTGATCGCTTACCAGGCCATTATTGGACTTACAGGGTTAAGGAGGAACTGAGGGTCATTTCTTTGCATCATTTGTATGTTGTGACCCCTGAACTGAGGGTCTGCAGCCTTGGGATCTCGGATTTAACAAGGATCATCTTTGTAAGACACCTCACTTCAGAGGCCAGAAGCAGCATYCTGTTACAACAGGCAAACCTTCCCCTCCTCAGCCCAGCCCCTGCTCCAGCAGGACAGGGAGGCTGCRTTCTCCTTGAAGTCCTCCTTGAAGTCCGTGCTTGGCTGATTCTGTTAGCCAAGGAAAGACAGCTTTGGTCAGTTGGCCCCKTGGGCATGGAATGTGCAGGGAGGGGAAGGGAGCGGAGAGCCACAGGCTCTATAGTCCCCAGGGGAGCAAAAGCCTTCATACTACAACTTCTGTTTCCTAGAATTTTTCAAAGGAAAAGGCAAAGCTATGTGCTTTTTATAATCTCTTCCCTACATTATAGATTTGGAACGTTTATACATTTTTTACCAAAGATTTTTAGTTCATGGTTTCAATTTTTACGTGAGCCTTTTTAAAAACAATTTTTAAATTTTGTTTACTCTTATTAGTTATATATGACAGCAGAATGCAGTTCAATTCATATAACACAAATAGAGCWCAACTTTTTTTTAAAGAGAAAGAGAGAGAGAATTTTTTAATATTTATTTTTAGTTTTTCGGTGGACGCAACTTCTTTCTTTTATTTGTATGTGGTACTAAGGATCGAACCCAGCCCCCCCCCCCCCAATGCCAGGTGAGCACGTTACCGCTTGAGCCACATCCTCAGCCCTAGAGCACAATTTTTTATGTCTCTGGTTGAACACAAAGTAGAGTCACACCATTCGTGTTTTCATATATGTACTTAGGGTGATGACAGCCATCTCATTCCACCGTCTTTCACATGGGCTTTTTAAACATGAAAAATTTTAAACGTGCAAAAGTAGAGTGAATAGTACATTGAACCCTTATGTATTGATCACCCAGATATAGCAGTTACCAAGATTACGACCAGTTCCTTCATATAATTCCATTTCTGTTGATAAACTATTTAAAAACAAATACCAAATAGCATGTCATTACTCTTCTGTGTTCTTCAGTAAGCATTTCTAGGAAAATATTGTCATCATCTTACATAAAACAACAATGCCATTGTCACATATAACAATATAAGCCATGATTCCCTGGCACCACCAAATACCCAGGCCAAACCAAATTGCTCTGAGGTCAATAAAGTCTTTGGACAGTAATTTGGTTCTAGTTAGGATCCACATGAAGTCTACCCATCACATCTGGTGGCTGTGTCTTTATTCTCTCTGAGCCTAGAGCAACCACCCCTCTTCTCTCCCCAACCCTTTCTCCATGTATTTGATTTATCAAAACTGGGTCAGTTGTCTGGTAGCATATTTGCCTCTGACTTTGGTGTCATTTAACTTGTTCYACTCACCACCAATGTAAGCCTCGCCTCCTATTTTGAATGTATCTGAGGCTAGAGGGATGGCTGCGTTAACATATGCCACGTATGGGCTGGGGATGTGGCTCAAGCGGTAGCGCGCTCGCCTGGCATGCATGCGGCCCAGGTTCGATCCTCAGCACCACATACCAACAAAGATGTTGTGTCCACCGATAACTAAAAAATAAATATTAAAATTCTCTCTCAAAAAAAAAAAAAACAACATATGCCACAGTGGGGAAAGCAGGCTATAGCTCCTAATTACAAAGACCTGGAGCAGAGTTACCGGTCAGCATCCACGTGAGGGTTTGACATAAGGTCCATGTTAAGGGGATTGCATCTGCTGGAAYTCAAAAACAGTTTAGAATCAAAGATCCTGTATCAGAAGTCAGTAGAGATAYTCAGGGTACCAAATTCCAGCAGATGAATCCCCAGACTTATTTCAAGTAACTGACTTCGCAACTTGAAAGAGACTTTGCCAAAGTTGAAGGCCCCCAAATCCTTGTGTGCTGACAGTGGTTTCTCTGATGTGGTAAGCTTTGGTTTCCCTCTGTTTTCTCTCTAAGTGATCACCAGAGGAGAGAGGAGTTAAACAGACACAGTCTACTCCTTGAGTGACTTCCATGTAACAAACCACGGTCAGCATGTTTGACTTTGTCCTTTTCTAAAATAAAGTTAATGAAAGTTTGGGAAATAATGGCTACTTTCTGTCATTGATATGATTTAAGAAATCTGGAAATAAATAAAATAAGCATGGTTCTTTGTATTTTCACTATAGGCAGAAAGCAGCAGCCTGTATATTATATTTGAAATAAGCCCGACTTCTATCAATGTATTGAATAATTGTCTACAGTATTAGTATGGAACAGTGTGAATACTCTCTAATTCACACTCAAAAATGTAATAGTTGAACTTTCAGTTTTGTAAACTTTCCATCCCAGTAATAGGGTTTGGCTGTTATCATATGTGAACTTTGTATTTCAGCGCCAATTTCTTGGGACCACGATTGGAGGGTCCCCAGGCTGCTGTGCCTGCTGAGGCAGCCGAGGTAGGGCTGTCCAGGCCCAGCAGTGTGAGCTGCTGCTGATAGGGCGGGAGAGGTGGCACTTGGGCTTCTCATCCGGGAATGCCTGTCCTGCCCACCTKCGTGTGGGAAGATCTGGATTTCAGGAGGCCCTGGATGAGCTCACCACCTCCGAGTTCCTGTTGCGCTCCCCTCTCCCAGCTGGAGTTCCGTTCCCAGACTGTCTTCATCAGTGGCTTCCGAAACCGCATTCAGCTGTGATGGGCCGMGCTGATGTGGTTCACTAGGAACAACTGGGCTCTTTCTCCTGCCTGCAGCTGGCTGTCTGTCCTCACCACCGCACCCAGCATTACATTTTTAATCCCTTCTCTGTTTTTTTCCCAGAGGAAGTCCCAGAAGTGTCCCTCTGGGGTCCTTACAGATGCACTTCCACTGTGCCACASTAACTGAGTGATGCTACTCAGTTCGGTATCCTGTTCATCTAGCTTGTGTGCTGCAGGGGAAGCAATAGGAGTCATAGGAAGAACTGGTCTCTTTTTCTCTCTGATGGAGAAAGGGTAGACTCAGGGGGTGCAGCTAAAGTTTGAATCTTAGGTAATCTTGGTAATCAAGCTGATTAAAATTTGCYGTGATGATTTGTTTTTAATTAACAGGTAATAACTATATCTGTGGGGTACAGTGTGATGTTTTGGTATATTTATACATTGTATATTGATCAACTCAGGATGCTTAGGTTCCCCATCATCTCAAAAATCTATCATTATTTTATTTTGGGAATGTTAAAAATCTTCTGTTTTGAATTTTATGATACAGTACTGTTAACTGTAATCACCCTCTGTGTAATAATTCACCAGAACTTTTTCATCCTGTCTGGCTAGGAGTAAATAAGATRTTGTCACCCAGTTCAGTATATTTTCCTACCAGGAATGGAAATATGCACTTACTTTAAAATACCAAGGACAGCAGAGATGGTGGGGTGGTTACCTCATTTTTTTAATGGTCCAAGAATTTAGGTTTCGAGGAAATCGACCAATTTAGCCACTAAACATTTAATACAACATACAGCTAAGCAGATCTGTTTTGATTTGCTTTGAAGGCTAAAGGGGCTGGGGGAGGATATATTAATCCTGAGAGTTGAACAGAACAAAAATCCTGATATAGTAGACCATCCCTTACACCCTGCTTAGGTGTTTCATACACACATATATCCCGTGCCCCAAATGAGCCAACATAGGGCCTATGTTACCTTCTCTGCCCCTCCTAATTCTTTTGTCCTAGTCCCAAATGGATCATAATCCTTCCTACCAGATGTTTCCATTGCTGGCCCTGATGTGTTCTCTCACAGAATCATAGAGAACTTTGCTTTTTTTTTTTCTTTTTTTCTTTATTACATGACCTTCAACCTTTTCTAACATCATTAAGGGTCTAACAGACGGGACATTTCTTGAAGTGGGAACTTTTGCCCTATCTCTAGTGTTGCCCAGCATTCACCCAAACTTTACSGTTGCTGGGTGCGTGTGAAGCCCCTTGCTCAACTGAAGCACTGTTTCCTTGAGAAGAAGGATCCTGGGACAGGCTTGCTGGGTGCACCCCACTCAGTGGTCTGTAGGCTAGTGATGCGCTGGAATGCCCGAGAGTGATCTCATAAAGCCAAGATTCCCTCGTGGACCCTTTTCTGCTGCCTCTTGGAATCCAGACACCAAGGGGATCTCTAAGTAGAGATTTTTTTGATTAGCCATAAAAGCAAGGAATAAAAAATTGAAAAATTTTAAAATGTCTCAGGCCATTTACGAAGATGTGCCACCAAATTCTACTTCCAGTTCGCTGTTTGGTGCTGCATCACAGGCGTTCTGTGGGAGATGCAGGAAATTTAAGTAAATATTTCTATTTCYGTTGTTAAGAAGTGTGTAAAGGGCAGGGTGCAGGTGGGTGTCAGCTTTCTAGCCTCTTCCACACGCTTGTGGGCTTCCCAGGTGGAGGGCACCTCTGACCGTCGGTTTCCCTAGTTGGTGAGGCTGGCACACTGTTACTGACCTGCAGACTGCAGACTCAGTGTTATCTTTTCCTGTTAAATAATTTGAAGCCTTTTAAAATTTTGTAATAGACTCTATTTCAAGCCAGAAAATGAGAATTACACATCTTGTTTTTATAAATCACAGAGGTATATATGATATTCATGCACACAGCACATTTTTTTTTTAAAGACATGATCTTGCTATGTTGCCCAGGGGTGGTCTTCAGCTTGTGAACTCAGGTGATCCTCCTGCCTCAGCCTCCCAAGTAGATGGAACTATAGATAACAGCCATTTTGCTTGGTTACATTCTGTATTTTTTTCACCTTAATGAAAATGAGAAAAAAAACTAATCTTTGAGAAAATTTGCAAGGCACAGATAAATGTAAATGAATAATAATAAGAATGACATAACTTCACCACTATTCACACTTTGACATATTTCTTGCYGAGTGTTTTCTACCCATTTTATATCATGTTTTTAAATTTTTTTTTATTATTGTTTCAAGGTCTACCAGAGAGTAAACAGTTTTTCTAAATCATGAAAAAATGCATAGCAAGGGCTGGGGTCGTGGCTCAGTGGTAGAACTCTTGCTTAGCATGTGTGAGGCACTGCGTTCGATTCTCAGCACTGCATATCAATAAATAAAATAAAGGTCCATCAACAATTWAAAAAAGTATTTTAAAAAATACATAGCCATATTTTAAGGTCTATGTTTCATGAGATGGAGATGCCAGAGTTTACTTAATCACTCCTTTTTGTTAGATTTTAAAATTGTTTTCAGTTTCTCACTACTATAAATAATACAGGAGTAAACATCTTTGGCTAAAGTCACTTCCTGTGTTTTACATTGTTCTTTTGGAATAGATTCCACAGGTGAGAGGATAGGAACAGTTCTGGGCTCTTTAGAAAAGCTGTCAACTTAGCTGGGCCTGGTGGTGCATGCTTGTAATCCTAGCAACTCTGGGAGATTAAGTCAGGAAGATCACAGTTTCAAGGTCAGTCTGGGCAATTTAGGAAGACTCTCCCTGTCTCAAAAGGAAAAAAGAAAAGAAAAGAAAAGAAAAGCCGGTCAACTTAGATTTCCCTGGAGGCTTTTGAGACTACCCCATCATTCTCCACTTTGACAGCATTAAATACTATTATGCTTATTTTTTATTTTTTTTTATTTTTATGTGGTGCCGAGGATCAAACCCAGTGCCTCACATGTGCTAGGCAAGGGCTCTGCCACTGAGCTATAACCCCAGCCCACWATCATGTTCAAGTCTTTGCTAATTTTATAAGCAAAAGTGATTTTTTTTTAAAAAAAAGACTCCCTGACATTTGGGGCTTATTTCRGCCACTTGTTTTTCTTTCATAAGTTGTGTGCCCATTTTTGTCTTAGGGTGTTCAATTTTTTTTATCATTGATTTGTAAGCAATTGTATAGATGATGATTTGATTGTTATCAGTATTTTTTTCTATCAGACCAATAGTATTTAACCTTTTCACATTGTATTTCTAGTACTTACTGTRTTGCTTGGCATATAATAATCACTCAATAAAAATTTGTAAATGAGTAAATGAAGGCTTAGAGGTTCGCTAAGAGGCGGACATTGATGATGATCACACATATTTCAGTTGTCATTCATTCAGCATTAATTGCTATTTGAAATGTATGTGGATTTATATTCACAAAAGGGGAAAAGCAGACCCTGATCCCTACAAAAAGGTGTGCATTGTAACTCTGCTGTGTAACCATACCTCTTATTCACCTTTTTAATAGGAGGAAAGACCATCAATGTCAGGCATTTGTGAGGAGAGTCATAAGGAGTCATCTCTTTCAGATAATTATGATTAGCACCGTCTCTTTGAATGCCTTTCTTACAGTCTTGTGGACCAGTTATGAAATAAGATACCGCTTGTACAGAGTTTTTGAGGTAAGCTGAAAAAAGGGGTTCATTTTCTTCTATTTTACCTGTTTTATTTCTGGAAATGTTCTAAAATCCTGAAGCTATTTTATTTCAAAAAATTTTCCACAGAAAAATTCTAAGGACCTTTAGAATATACTCTAAAACCTAGGCAGATGGTAACAAGAGTGGCAGTGAGACATGGATTTTAAAGTTTCCTAAATTCTTTTTAAAATAGCCATTAGAGAGCAAAACTAAAAACCCATGGGAAAAATTTACAGCAAAACTAGTTACTGAGAGCAGCCAGGCGAGGTGGCGAAGCCTATAATCCCAGTGGTTCTGGAGGCTGAGGCAGGAGGATCATGAGTTCAAAGCCAACCTCAGCAACAGTGAGGTGCTGAGCAACTCAGTGAGACCCTGTCTCTAAATAAAATACAAAATAGGGCTGGAGATGTGGGTTCAGTGGCCGAGTGCCCCTGAGTTTAATCCCTGGTGCACCTCCTCAAAAACAAACAAACAAACAAACAAACAAAACCTTGGAGCCATTAAGAACATGCCATTAGCTTCTGTGGGGGAAGAGGCAGAGGGGAATTGGTAGGTATTCCCTGGAATGTGTGATGGGCTGATGTGAGAACAGCTTTTGGGAATAGTATTGCCTAATCCAATACTGGGGGAGTGCAGAAGGATCCAGATAATTTCTGAAGGAGCTGGGGCAGTCCAGACCCAATGAACCAACCCTGCAAGTCTCCCTTCAAAGGTAGGGCTGCACAGTTAGGAGAAATACTGGAAGTGGAATAAAAATGAGCAAATTAGAGACAGCTGAAGAAAGAGATGTGAACAGAATTAGGAAACCTCAAAAATCCAACTACCACATTTTAAAACATAACCTAAAAGCAGAAGAGAGCTCAGTGAAGTTGGAACCACACTTTCTTCTAAAAGTGCAGGAAAACTAATTGGACATAAAAAAAAAAGCACACTATAAAAGGATTGAAGGAAAACAGCCTACAAAATTTTTATAAGAAAAAAAAGTGGAGAATCACATTTCTATGATTAAAGCAAGTCTACTGCAAAGGTATGCCCACAAACGGATAAAAATTATAGCGTATGATTTTAAAACAGGGTAAATGTTTAAGAAACTGATCAAGTTAGGAAAAGAACAGAAGTGACAAAACTCAAGAAAGAATTAGAAAGCCAAGAAAATAAAAAATGAAGACTAATTAAGGGCAATTACATACAATAGACAATTGCTTAAGAGAAATACATGATTAAGTAGAGGAAGTTTTTTTAAAAAAAACAAAAAACAAGAAATGAACAGATGGAAAAAATTCAGGAGAAAACAATGAACAATGACAATGGGAAAAAATTCAATATAAAGATAATAGGAAGGCTGGGGTCATAGCTCAGAGTGCTTTCCTAGCATGTGTGAGGCACTAGGTTTGATTCTCAGCACTGCATATAAATAAAATAAAGGTCCATTGGAAACTAAAGAAAAAAGATAGTGGGAGCCCCTGCATTTCAGAATAAATGCTAAAATCTATCATGCCCCCCCATTACCTTAATAAAAGACCTCAATTTATATGTTGAAAGAGCACATGTCACATACCTGAGAATATGGATTTAGAACACGCACCAAAACACATCTAGTAGAATTTTGGGACTATACAAGCAAGAAGAATAGGGAAAACTGTAACCAGCTAGGAAATGTGGCTTCTAAGGAGAAGAAAATTAATTATCATCAGACTTCACTGTGGTAATGCTTCAGGCCAGAAGATAATGGAGATAATTTAAGATTCTTCAGCAAAGAAAATGTGAACCAAGTTTTTCAGATCAGCAAAACTGACTTTCAAGTACCAAGGGCACAAACTGTCACATTCAAAAACTTGGAGAATGTTCTTTCCAGGAACCCTTTCTTAGGCGTCTACTACAGAACAAGTTGAGCCAACCAAAACAACTTTATACTTCTGATGATAGCATTAAATATATAGTTATTTGTGAAAGCAATTAATTGTGGTTTAACAGGGAAAGAGTATCGCATATAATGAATATATTACCTGACAACAAATATATAGTATGACTATAAAAATGGGAGCCACTGGGAAGAGCAAGTGCAAAAAAATTTTAAACCATTTTCAGTAATCAACTTGGTGATGCTATGAGTAGTAGTATTCTGAGACGGATGAGCATGGGGTAATTATGTGATATTTTTTGGGATCCTATCTTTCATCATCTATGTTCTTGAGAACCAGGGTATTAATGGAAGAAAGGAGATAAAGATGTATAGATGAACGTTAAATAAAAAATGTTGTACATTTGGATTGGAAGTATCATCCTAAACTACTGAGGTATTTTATTTTATCCTCCGAATGACTTCAAACGTTGATCAACTTTGCAATTATGCATGTTTTGTGCCCATAATGTGATATTGAAATATCATTTCTCACTAAAAGAAACCAGAGTTTCTTAGAGAAAGAAGAAATGCATCAAACAATCTATGAGGTGATAATGATACACAACATAACTGGCCATTTTGGATATTTAAAAAGAGCTAATCCTTGATCTTTTTCTTTCCCCTTTGTACTGGGGATTGAACTCAGGGGCACTTTACCATTGAGCTACATCCCCAGCCCTTTTTATTTTTAAGACAGGGAATTGCTAAATTGCTGAGGCTGGCCTCAAATTGTGATCCTCCTGTGTCAGCCTCCTGAGTTACTGGGATTACAGGTGTGCACCTCCACATCTGGCCAATTCTTTAWCTTGAAACCTGCCAAATTAAGGGAAAGTATCAAGATTTACTAACCTCTCTTAGATGAACTGTGACCCTGAGGGGGTCATCTACTATGTGACTACTCATTCTTAGAGTTAATATCTTTATAAAGTGTCCCAGTTAATAAATGAAAAAGAAATGATAGAAAAAAATCACCATTTTTTTCAATATAGTAATGGATCTAGGCATTCAGCATTAATGGTTGCTGCCATAATAATAATAAAAAAGAGATAGCTAGATGTTATATGCCTTCCGTGAAGGAATAGCACCTATAACGTTGCCAGAGATCCAAACTGAATCTGATTAAGCTGATCAACTTGGAAAACATCTTCCTAATTTTAGGAAATTTGGAAGATAGAGGAACATGCAGAATGGCACCATAAGTGTGCAGTCAGCAAATTCCAGACTGAAATGTTCTATGAGTTAAACTAGTTGGATGCTTTTACAGATAAACTGTAAGAAGAAAAAAGGAATGGGAGATTTAAAAAAGATAAACCAAAGTTTAAAAAATTATAAAAGGCAAGACTAAATTATAGGTTCTTGGGAGGCATATCTGGGTTTCTATCCATAACGGAATGCAAGGAAATAATTATAATTAAAAAATCCAGATAATAGTTAATTTTGTAGGTAGGGAAGGAGTTGTGATTTGAGAGGGGCACATGGAGAGGCCTGGGATAGCTGTCAAAGCTCTACTCCTTGACCTGGTGGTAGTGATAGGAGTGTTGGCCTTGTCATAATTCGTTAGGCTAATTCATGTGGTTCTATGTGTATTTTATTTTATAGTAAAATGTTAAAATATACTTCATTCAGGGTAAAACTTACATTTATTTCTTAATGGTAAAAATGGTTAGCATCAACATAATGTGCTATCAGAGGTGGTGGAGGTAGGTGGCCTACTTGAAATTCACAGGATCCACTTGGGGACACTCCTGTGAATGTGCTGGTATGGTAGCAAATTCCACACCACCACAGAGTGTGATCATGGACGGTGGGAGGTCATGTTGGTACAAGAGTGATAGGTTCAGGGAAAGAGATCTGTTGAGGAATCTAAATCCTGATTGTCCTCCGGAGGCCATAAGGTTACCAAGTATGTGTCCTTTGGGGACCCTGGTTTGCAAGTCTAGTTCTGTGTTGTGGGAAGGATGTGGACTTCGGGACTGTACAGTTGTGGGTTCAAGTACCAGCTCTCCTACCTTTTTACTAGTTGGGAGAATTTAGGCAACTTATGTAATCTTTTTGTGGTTCAGGTACAGCATGTGTAAAATGATACACCTTCCAGGAGGCTGTGAGGCCATTGAGCATAATGTGTGAAAGCCCCTGGTTAACTATGAACTGTAATGAGAAATCATTAACACTCTTGAGATCCCCCTGAAGGTTCTAGGAAAGACCTGAGAAGGGCTGATCTTTCACCTCTGGATGATCTTGAGGCTCTGAGTAAGCAGGAAATGAAGGTAAATTGCTACTATTGGCAAATTGCTGGAGCACTGAATGCAGGCCCCAATACACAGAGCAAAGAGCCTTGGCAAAGACTGGGAGGCTGATTGGTTCCAGGCATTTAGGGGAATCTCCATCCAGACATTAGGAGGCCAGTGAGCTAACTGAAGGGCTGGGGATGTAGCTCAGTGGTACAGTGCCTGCCTGTCTTGCATGCACAAGGCCCTGGGTACAGTCTTCAGTACTGCAGTAAACAGACAAACGAGCTGACTGAACAGAGGCTTTGATGACCACACACAACAGACTTGACAGAATTCAGGAAAGGCACTTGGAAAAGAAAGAAACTAACAATTAACYGTACTGAAACAAACCCTGGAGAGAGGAAAGGCACTTGGAAAAGAAAGAAACTAACAATTAACCGTACTGAAACAAACCCTGGAGAGAGGGGAGAAGCTGATTCCCAGTTGTGACATGTTATTTAAAAAGTCAATTTTATTAACAACAAAAAAATTATGAGACATGCAAAGAAACCAAGAGTGTTCAAACCAAAAATGTTGATCTTAAGGAAGAGAGTAGAACCGTAATTTCTAGAGGCTGGGAAGGATAGGGGCAGAGAAGATGAAAGAAGTTCGGAAAAACAGGTGCTAAAGTACAGTTAAATAGGAGGGATACTTTTTTTTTTATTATTGTTCCCCAGCATAGTAGGCGAATAGTTTATAACAACTCATTATATATTTTATTTATTTATTTTTTTCATTATATATTTTAGGAAGGACTTAGAAGATAGGAGTTTAAAGGCTCCAAACACAAAGATAAGAAGATGGCAATGCTA